TCAAAATGATCGCTGGAATTTTCACAGGGTGGCACTGATTTACGAACATTTGCATGCAGTTCACTATCTTAAAATAACTCAATCAATTTTTCCAAACGCCTCGAACGCTTTCAATTCTTCTGCACTGCACTCAATTAACTTTCAAGTGATATGACTCGAAGCAAACGAATAATGAAACTCACTGACAAATGAGAAGTTTTTCAAACGGCTTCAACCGAAAATGAAAAATTTTTACTGTTCCCGTCAAACACAATAGGAACACAACTTCAAATGCTTGCAAAGAAGCGATTGCATTTCCGATATCAATTGAATAAAGTTTGTACGCATTAATGATAATAGATCAAGCGAAGAGATCAATCAAAAGCAAATTTCGCAAATGTACACCATGAGAGTGTCAACAACTGTGAAGAAAAGCAAATTTCCTTCATGCCACTCACCCAGGTCCTGAATAAGTGATCGCAATTCCGACATCATTCACATGAAAAAAGCCTAGTCGAACGCCAACCATCACAATGCACGGTATCCCAATCAGCACTGCCCCAGTTCCCGTCAAACACAACAGCAACTTCAAGTGTCCTCCTTTTCGTGGCGTTCGTTTCGCTGACTCATGATTACCACTACTGTGGATGGCATTCCTCGAACTGCGCTAAAAGTTTGCATCCATTCGAATCGTCGTCTTCCAAATCAGTTCCGTTTGAAAAGTCACCTCTACGGCTTCAATTAAAAATAAGTTTGCTTCAGTTGCTACCAGCGGTGAATGCGCAGTTTTACAGTGTTGCCAGTGATAATAGTGGTGATAATCCAATGTTATCATCACCAACACTCCAAAATGCCTACTNTGAATGCGCAGTTTTACAGTGTTGCCAGTGATAATAGTGGTGATAATCCAATGTTATCATCACCAACACTGCAAAATGGCTCCTGCACTGATCGCGCCAACTCAAGGTAACTTACTTCTAATTCATTCTCAAATTGTGTATAAGCTCTCAGTTTTATCGCTATATTCACCATCTATGGCCCCAGATGAGAGACCTGCTCAAAATGTTCAGATGTCAGTTGTTCAGTTGAACCCATTGAGAAATTCTCATCTCTTCATTATCGATAACATGTAATTTTCATAAACATTTTTGTGGGTAATTCTCATGTATACCACTGATTGAAATCGCAAGAATTTATACGGAATTTATTCAGTGATTCACAAAACCACAGAAGATTTCTTTTATTTGCATAGTGTTCATTTCTAGTCATCAACCGATATCCATCCACCCTCATATTTCGAAGAGGATTCAAATTTGGCATAAACAATTCTACGGGTCAAACAACTGATCGACACCGGACACTTATGCGAATGTAAGGATGAAGTCAATGAATGAGAATCATTTGAAATGAAATGATGGTGATGACGCTTCAAGTCTCAATTAATCCACATTGAATGCTGGAACTTCCATACTTCCGGCATCTCTGCTTTATTTCCATGAGAAAAAAAACAGAAATTAATTCTATTATGCATTCATGCTTCTAGTGCGTGGACAATAGCAATCTGTGCATTACATTATGATGCATCATTCATTTGACATTTGCATTCATTTGATTATGAGTAATCGACTTGAACTGACTGCATAATGTATAGAGCAAAGCATAAGTTCAGTCGTGTTCTCTTCAAATTTCCATGACTCATTAAGGCAATATTGCCATCTCAAAAAAATGAGCCATTCAGTTGTTAATGTCACCAACTGCAACCTTTTGCTAGACGCACGATGACGCAGA